CGCAGACTTCACAATAGACGAACTGACATCGTGCATCTCGGACCTGGGCGATACAGCCCCTGGACCGGATGACATCCACAACCAGATCATTAGACACTTACCCTCAGAAACACTTACACTCCTACTATACATATACAACGACATGTGGCGGTCGCACTCCTTTCCGGAGTCTTGGCGTCTCGCCACTGTCATTCCAATACCTAAACCAAACAAGGACCACACACACCCATCCAATTACAGACCAATAGCGCTAACGAGCTGTCTCTGCAAACTAATTTAAAAAATGATCCACAGGCGACTCATGTGGTTTCTGGAAACGACGGGCTCGCTGAGCGATCTCCAGTGCGGATTCAGGAAAACTCGATCCACTCTGGATCACCTGGTCCGCCTTTATACGCGAGACGTTCGCTGAAAGAGGCCACATGATCGCCATCTTTTTTTACCTAGAAAAAGCCTTCGACACAACCTGTAAGTACGCATTCTTTGAGACCTGCACGCACTCCGCATACACGGTCACCTCCCTGCCTTCATTGGCAACTTCCTGAAGAACCGTTCCTTCCAGGTTCGTGTCGGATCCTCCCTTTCAGACCCACACCAACAGGAGGAAGGAGTCCCCCAGGGGAGCACCTTTTCTCCTCTCCTATTCGAAATTAAAATAAATTCCATAGTAAAAAAACCTCCACAACAGCATAGACAGCTCGTTATACGTTGACGACTTTTTGATATGCTGCCGTTCGAAAAATCCTCTTTTGAGATCTATGGAAAGGCAGCTGCAAACGCAGCTGCACAAACTCGAAACGTGAGCAAACAGTAACGGGTTCAAGTTCTCCCCGTCAAAGACGGTTGCAATACACTTCTTTCGAACAGGCAGACGTGTGCTGTAGCCGGATCTGACACTATACGGGGAAAGGATCCCCGTCCAGGACCAAGCTCGTTTCCTCGGCGTCATTTTCGACAAAAACTCACATTTATACCACACATCAAAGACCTTCGTGTGAGGTGCCAGAAAGCGCTAAACGCTTTGAAAAATCTGTCGCATCTGAAGTAGTGCGGGGACTCAAAACGCCTTCTCCACTTGTACATCTCCCTTGTCCGGTCCAGGCTTGACTACGGCTGTCAAGTCTACGGATCGGCAAAACCACACATCTTAAAAATGCTAGACCGAATACAAAACCAAGGACTCCGCTTCGCTCTGGGGGCTTTCCGCACTTTTGCGGTGGAGATTCACTCAGCATTATATGCTATTTAATAATACATTCGTCAGATTTGGAATCTTAAATTATAATCATAATTATATGTGCCCGCGCGTGGGAAGTGAAAGTGAAAGGAATTGAAAATGCTTTCAAAAACAATTATGAAAGTAACATAATTAAAGTAGGACTACATGTGCTTATAAAGGCCCAAAAAGGTGTATGGATGCGGAAATTAATGTTTCGGATGAAAATAATACGCTATCTCTACTACTGTAGCATGCGGTCAAAAATTTGATGCGCAATTTATTATCAAATATCTAGGCTACTGAACTATCGAACACCTAGATCTAGATTCTCCTACTTTTACACAATGACTTAGATCTATATCAATTCGTCTTAACTTAACCGATGAGTATTTTTTTCAAACATTTGTACACATC